GGACATTTACAGGCGTATGGGTTTGGGGGGGTTATTTGGAACATGTAAAGGTTATGGCGGGAATGGCACTCGATACAAATACCATGGGCCAGAATTTGGGCCGCAGAGGCAGAAGTAGTCGGAGGAGGGGGAGGAGGAGGAGGAGGTGGTGGTGGTGTTGGTGTTGGTGTTGGATGGCGGCGGAGGAGAGATTCTGCCTCGGTTCACGGTAGCAGACAGAGATTCGCCGCAAGTTTGTTAGACTAGCAAGCAACTGTATTTTAATAGATGTGAGCATGACGGGAACAAGACGTCCTTCTTTTCAACTTTGCCATTGTGCCAGAGTGCTCTCTCTCTCTCTCTCTCTCTCTCTCTCTCTCTATCTCATTCTGTGCCAGATGAATTGGACGACGGCACGGACCGAGGCGTTTCGTTTCGTTTCGAATGTTGGCAATGCGAGCCAGTCAGATTTACAAATGACTCCATCCACGATTGCGATGCCGTTGGGAATTGCGATGGATGATGGATGGGTAATACCTAATTAATTAATTAGATGATGGGACATCCGGTAGGGAAGGGCCCTGCAATACGAGTGCCCAACGACCAGCTAGTGCGGTACGGTACGGTACGGTACAGTACCAAACCGCTTGATGCCAGATGTTGTGTTGTGGTAAATTGGTTAATAGAGGGGGCTGGGGGGGTGGGATGTGACTGTGAGGTTGGTCCGACAGGCGGGCCGGGGGTGGCGGTGTCTGTCTGTCTGTCGTCTCAATCTCGTCCATCTATCTCTCTCCCTCTCGCGCTCTCTCTCATGCTTCGATTCGTCTCGGCCGCCCTCTCATATCACCCACACATCTCATCGGTCTCACTGGCCTGGGTGGCGTGCGCGTCGCCTGTCGTAATCCCTCCTTTTCTTCTTCTTCTTTTCCTGCACATTCTGCTGTCACAAGTTCCAACTCACACGCACATACATAGGTACATACCGGACCGTTTCATCAACAACTGGGTGGGTTCATCATCAACATCATTTACCACCATCATCCGAACTGAACAATCGCTCTCTCTCTCTCTCTCTCTCTCTCTCTCTCATCACCCAATTGGATGCCGATCTCATACATCATACTGCACCACCTGCGCTGCGCAGTGTGCCCTGACGACGGCATTGGAGTTTGGCTTTAGCCCTGCGTTCATCGCCCCAGAGACATTCCGTCGCACGGTCTTGCCGAGCCACCCTCACTAGTGTCACGGCGCAAGGGCGCGAAAGGAAAGACATAAAAAAGTAAAAAAAAAAAAAAAAGTCCTGAGGGAGGCCAAACTATATACAATCCACCTGCTAGGCGCAGCAGCGTCCAAGCTTCATCGCGCGAGCGCCGCCCAAAGCGCATCTGCATCTGCACCTGCAGCCCGCACCTGCAGGGAGCGTGCAACACACACAGCTCATACGGATAACGCTCCAGGGCCTTTGGAAACCCAGCCAAGCTCACAAACGATGGACCATCCCAGTCCGTCCGCCCGCAGTGGTGCCGGAGGCGGCGGCGGTGGTGGTATGGCAGCGACCAGACGAGAGGGACCAGCAGGGGGACCGGACGCTGTATCCGACGAAAGCTCAGCGAGCTCCATGTCGGACGACGAGGACGCGGACGACGTAGGCCCTGGATATAGACCCCAGACGCCCACGCCTCCGCCACAGCGACGACAGCAGCGTCAACAACAGCAATCGCCACCACATCGTCCGCCACCGCCGAGGGGCAGTAGGGAAAGGGACATTCAACGTGAACGACGCCGCGAGCGTGATCGGGAAAGAGACCGCGACCGCGACCGCGACCGTGACCGTGACCGCGACAGGGACAGGGACAGAGACAGGGACCGCGATCGGAATCGTGATCGTGACCGGGAATCGGAGCTTAGGAGAGCAGGACCGCCTTCGCCGCCGTCGGACAGGGACCGCGACAGCCCACCAACCCCGAGGGATGTAAAGCGGCAGAGCTTCGCGGTGGACGACAGGCACTACAGCAGCGGGCACGGGGGCGGCAGCAGCGCCCACCACAACAACGGCCACGCCCGGCGACGACAGCAGAGTGTGCCGCCCAACAGCGCCCTCAACGGGGCCAAGCGGCAGAGCATCACGGAACGGCTCATGAGCACCTGGACGGCGCGTACGGCAAAGGAACCGGTGGGCGCTGCTGCGTCGTCTGTGATGCCCCCCTCACGCCGCGCCTCGTCGGCGTCGACGACGGCGAACAAGTTCAACCCCGTGGGCCGCGTGCGCGAGTGGCTCGACACGTGCAACGCGGAGCACGGCGACCACTGCTCCGGCCCGCCGGGGGACACGTGGCGGCCAATATGGCTCATCGACTCGGTGAACCGGTGCCTGGTGCGCGCGCGCGCGACGGACCGGTACATCGCGCTGAGCTACGTCTACGAGCCGCCGCTGCCGAGTTCGAGGGGCCCCGTCGAGACCCTCAGGGGGAACCTGGAGATGCTGACGGCGAGCATGGACGACGCCGACGTGCCGCAGACGATACTGGACGCCATGTGGCTGGCGAGGAAGCTGGGCATCAAGTACCTCTGGGTGGACCGTTTCTGCATCGTGCAGGACGACGACGTCGAGAGGGAGGAGCACGTCAAGAACATGGCCTACGTCTACGCCAACGCCTACCTGACAATCGTGGCCGCCATGGGGGACGCCGAGACGGGGCTGACGGGGCTGCTGAGGAGGACGCCGCCGCCCCGCGGGGCCGCGTCGAGGAAGCTCGACGACCTGGTGCTCTCGTCGCGGTGGGCGGGGCGGGCGTGGACGGTGCAGGAGGGCATGTACTCGCGGCGCAAGGTGTACGTCTTTGAGGAGACGGTGACGTGGGAGTGCCACTGCGACGTGTGGCAGGGGTCGCCGGCGGGAGGGGGCGGGCGCTTCAGCAAGATCCTCAAGGGCGGCGCCGGGCGCGGCGGGCCCTGCCAGCAGCGGGCCTTCCCCGCGGCGACGGGGTACCTGCACCCCGTGTGGCCGGACATGGACGAGTACGCGCGCATCGCGATGGAGTTCAGCGCGCGGCGGGTGACGCTCATGTCGGACACGACGCGGGCGCTGCGGGGCATCACGACGGTGCTCTCGCGGTCGTTCGCGGGCGGCTTCATCTTCGGCATGCCCGTCAGCTTCCTCGACGTCGCAATGCTGTGGCAGCCGCGGGCCATGGTGAGGCGGCGGATGATGGTGCAGCCCATGACGGGGATGAACCCGCTGCCGTCGTGGAGCTGGCTCGGGTGGCACTACGACGGCGTGCCCGCGGACCTGACGCTCTGGCGCGCCGCCGCCGACTACGTGCAGGACGCGCCGCCGTCCGGGAAGAAGGGCGCCGAGAGGCGGTTCAAGAGCCCCTACGCATTCCGGCTGCGGTCGCTGGTGAGCTACGAGCTGACGGACCGGGCGACGTACACGCCGCTGCCCAACGACGGCATGGCGTACCGCGACCGCAGGCACCGGAGGGCGGTGCCGCTGCCCGCGGGGTGGTCGAGGAGCAACGGCGGGTTCCGGTACGCCGGGGACCCCGAGGTCATGTTCCGGTACCCGGTGCCCGTGGCGGAGATGACCAGCGGCGGCGGCGGCGGCATGGATGGGGGGGGCGCGGTGGGGGGCTCCTCGCCGTTCGGGGACTTTGCGATGAGCGCGACGCTGCTGTCGTTCAGCACGACCATGGCCTTCCTCGAGGTGGACTTCGCCACGGCGCGCAACGGGGCGCCCGTCGACGCCAAGGCCGCCAACGCCGTCAACACGGGGAACAACACGGGCCCGGCGGCGGGGCTGGTGGCGCCGGGGCGGGGGTACGGGGTGCCGCTCGCGATCGGCAACATCTGGTCGCGGACGGGCAAGTGGTGCGGCGTCGTGACGGCGCACGACAGCTGGCTGGGCCTGCAGGGCGCGAACCACACGGGGGAGGAGAGGCTCGAGTTCGTCGCCGTGTCGATGGCGAGCGAGCGGGGCGGCAGCCACGTGTTCGACCTGGACGCGTTCCGCGACAACATGGACGAGGACGAGATCGTCGACTTTGTCAACGTGCTGTGGGTGGAACGGGTGGGGGGCGTGTGCTACCGGAGGGGCCTGGGGCACGTCGTGCAGAGGGTCTGGGACGCCGTGGCGAGGGACCGGGTCGACGTCCTTCTTGGATAGGGGGGGGGGGGGGGGGGCAAGACTGTATACCAGTGGTTACGATGTAAGGACGTTATGCGATGGGATAAGGGGCGGGAGGGCCGTGGAAGGAGTCTTCGAGTTGGACCGGGCCCGCGTACCATGTGCGAGGCGACCGGTTTCTGGATTTGCTGTACGAGATATATGCCCCCTGGGCGCGGGCGATTCTGTGTTTAGTTAGTATAGCTTCACAGCGAGTTGTGCATATTGGAAAGCCCTCGGTGACGGGGCGTGTTTGAGGCGCATCGGCCGCATCCCCTTCCCCCCCCCCCCCCCCCCCCCCCCCCCCCCCCCCCCCCCCCCCCCCGCCGTCCCCTAATCTACCTCGTGATGTGCGGCTCCGCCGCGGCATGACGGGGACAATCCGACAATGTCCAAGATGATGTTCTACAGAGAGAGTGCGTCTCGAGGGAGGGTTTTCCCCATCTACGGTCAACGCCACAAACCATCCATCCTTCGTTGCATTGTGTGCGTGTATGTATCCGTAGTCTATGTGTGTAAATTGGAACCCGGTCCAACGCGGATGAAGCTGAAGGACGGATGCACTCTAGAACGCCCGGCAGGGATGGAAACCCACATCTCATGACACTCACCGTCTCGTATCTATTAGCGAAATAATCCAGCAGTCCATCCCCAAGGCATCTGCGAGTCCTAATATACGCTAGCCTGGGTACGGATACACAGAGACAAGAACCCTTTCAAGCCTGTGCGTCCCTAGTCAGGCACAGAAACGGCTGACGGTTCCGGTCCTCGAGAGGACCCCACCTTTTGCCGCCTGTCCACCGCCAGCTCCACCCGATATAGTAGCGCGACTGCCACTAATTCGCCAATACACATCGGGCGCATGGTGTAGTGGTATCACATTCGCTTTGCATCTACACGTCTCTGCGAAAGGCCCAGGGTTCGATCCCCTGTACGTCCACGATAAACAGCATCTGCGCAAGTAGATGTTCACACTTTTGCCACATTCCCTTCTTCATTTTTTTTTTTCATTTTTTTTTCTAATCTGTCATCTCTGTTGTTCTCCTGATATTTGTTTATGGATTGAGCACAACCACGTGCTTCTTGTCTGGATAGCCTACAATGCATCAGTTAAGCACCCCCAGGCGTCGAAAACATTGTGAGACTTCCGTTCGGGCTGAGCACATCGACTTTTTTTTTTATTGAAAAAAAAAAAGAAGAAAAAAGACATCGCTAGCCTCTACCGGAGAACGAGTACCGTCACATCGGAAACCCGAAGTCGTCGACACCGACGCCCCACGCGTTCAGATGCCCTCTCTCTTCCAAGTCGCCAAGCCCGGCAGGAGGGCGCAAGGACAGCTCTCTCTGGCTACGACGACGAAGTTGACGGATGAAAAGATTGGCACTCGGTATAGGGGGCCACGGAGCACGTTTGAATAGCAGCCCCGGGGGGGGAGACAAAAAAAATACGAGAAAGGCCGCGTCAAAAGCCCGGGAACCCGGCAGCCGACCCGGGGACTCTCTTTCCTGGATTGGCCCTCTCGGGATCGAGGGTTCTCATCCCCATAAGACGGAAATGGGCCCCGTTTCACTAAATCAAGACCGCAGGTGGTTAAATATGGCGAGCCGGCACGACGGCACCTCTTGGTTCGCTTTCCGAAGGGTTGCCGCGCTTCCAATGATGGGCTTTCGATGTTTCGCCTGGTGATGGGGAACCTGTAGTTTTGGCCCGCTGATGGCACACCGGTACAGAGTGATTGTTTGGTGCACCGGCCGAGGTGCGAATACTTAGGCCCGAGATTCGTAGACGATGGAATGACACAGTGGGAAGACACAGTCCCAGGTACAATGCCAACTACTCGACACGATTCCCAGAGGGGTGGGGGACCAACGTCGGCGATACGATGTATAGTAAGAGTTCGATGATGGAGTCGTGGTCCCAACGATGTTTCCCGACGAAGATCCCGGAGAGATCGGATGCCGCCAGAGTCTCCGGGCCGAAGAGTCAAGAAGAGGGGGAGGAGGGGGGGAGGGGAGGGAGAAAAACATGTGGACTCGGGGACTGGTGTTCACGTCACGACCCCACACCTTTCCACTCCTCCGACGTACATCAACGAACTTGCCGTGGGTTGAACTTGTACCATCTTTCTTTTTCTTCTTCTTCTTCTTCTTCCCCTCCTACCCTACTTCATCACAAGCATTACAAACAAACGAGAAAGACACAAGGTAGGGGAAAAAAGCGCAGCCAAAAATGGATCGCTTCGCCGCTACGGAAGGCATCGAGCCCCACGACAGCTACTCCCGGATGGAGCCGTTCTCGGCCGGCGAGACGGCGATCGAGCGGGACCTCCGGCTCCGGATACGGGACTTTTACCGGACCAGCGACCGCCGCGACCAGGACGAGCGCTGGCTCGACTTCTACACGCCCGGCGCCAGGGCCAAGGTCGGGGCTCTGGAGGGCGAGGGGCGTGAAAGTACGTGTCTGAGCGGTGCCCCCGCATGTCGAGCACCACCATTCATTCGGTTTTGGGGGCTGACCTGGGTGAGCAGACATCCGGCAACTACGGACGGCGTTGTGGAGCACCGTGTCGGCGAGGAAGCACTGGCTGACGAGCGCGATCGGCTCGGCTACCGAGAAGGGGGGCGTGCACGTCATGTTGAAGGGGGGAGTGAGGCGCAAGGGGCTGGACGGGGGCGAGAACGTCTTCAGCTGGGCCGGTAGCGCCGAGTGGGTGAGGCAGCAGCAGGACGGCGAGTGGCGGATGGATGCATACCGAGTCTGGCTTGACCCGTGGACCGAGATCGATGGCGGGCTGCCTGCTGTGTCGCAGTTCTGAGCAGGGGGGGGGAAAGGTGCGGCGGCGTGAGATTTGGGGTCAAGCGCCAGGAGGATGGATTGGGCGCGCCGAATCAAGGGTGGGAATTGCTAAGACCGGCGACAATCCAACCACCGGAATAACACGGTACTGCGTGCTTGACAGCTGGGCGCAATGTATGTGCTCGTGTGTGTGTGTGTGTGTGTGTGTGGCTGCTGAGTGTGTGTGTGTGTGCGTGTGTATGTGCGTCTCGCAGCCAGTGTTTCACCGATGGCATTCTTGCTTTACCCCCCTCCCATTTCTAGCCGTCTGTCTGCCTGGCAGATCGGGTTCGATCCCATTTACCGATGATGGCAGATTCGTCCGTTGATGAATCCGACCTCAGACCCGCTCCATACGCTACCATCAAAAGGCATTTGCGCTTCGTCGGCATTGCGGCCACGGCCGACCCTCCCCCCCCCCCCCCCCCCCCCCCCCCCCCCCCCCCAGTGCCTTGCATCGTCGCACGCTGCTTCATTATTGGTTTTGTCGTCTCGCCTCGACTGGCCTCGCTTCGCCTCATCGCATTGAGGGATGGATGAATATTGGGGGGGTAGCCTTGGGTAATTGGGCCGAAGATGGCCAGAAAAGAAAACTTACTACCTGGTGTTAGTACGTAGGCTGTTTCCCCAATAAAAACAAAAAAAAAATGACTTCATGACATGCGTCTTGGGTTTCTTTGAAATGGCGAGGGTTGAGGTTCGCAGCAGCTCACACCCACCCAACCACCCCCCCAAGCAAAGTAACCCCCGAGAGGTTTACGGGCATTGAGGAAATGGGGAGGGAACCCGGGAGAACCCTACCATACATACGCCTACGTCAGCGAGTGTTGTGTTGTTCCCGTGGGCCCGATGAGCGCTGTGAGCGGCCTGTTCACCTGACATGGAGGCCTTTCCCACCCCTCCCCTCCCCTCCCCCCCTTTTTTTGTCCTCCACCGGGGGGGTCAGGTGTCTTTGTCATTTGGACGGTCGGGCCCAGCGTAGCCGGGTATGCGGTAGTTTATGAGAAACCGGCGCGATAGGACAGAGTTGACGGATGACCGATGACGGAGGAGGTGGGGGAGGGGGAGGGGGGGGGAGGGGGAAACGGACATGCACGGTATGCTGGAATACATAGGAAACCAGGCACTCTGGCAGCGGGTGGCCGGTAAGTGACGAAGGACACCGTTTAGTTTAGTTTAGTTCAGTTCAGTTCAGTTCAGCAAATGCGTCCATAATTCCTTCGCCAGAAAAGGATGCGGTGCTTCGCCCACCTAGGTAAGTAAGCAAGCAGCGCAAAGTGGTTTTGGGGCCCGCGCCCGCGCCCGCCAGTCATCAGGCCAAAGCGGGATGATGACATCGGTCACCCCCGGATCGTCATTTTCTGTGCGCCGTCCGCCGTCCGTCCTCATGCTCGCGGGCGCAGGCACACACACATACATACATACGTACATAGACGCAAGGCACGCACACCACAGGCGTCAGCAGCTGGTCCCGGGTACAAGGGGGGGTTGGATCTGACGGAAATTGATAAGAGAGGCCCGGTGTTGGTGGCCGGTGACATCTGGTTTGACAATCTGGCTCTGGCTGGCTGGCTGGCTGGCTGGCTGGTTGGCTGGCTGGCTTGGCTTGGCTTGGGCTGGGCTGGGCTGGACCTCGCGCCGTTGCCGCCTGCATCTCTCTCCGGCCTCGGCAAGAAGCTCTCTCTCTTTGTACGTGGAATGCAATGGAAGAGCGGCTGGTGTGGTGCAATCGATCAATACCGAGTTAGAAGAGGGGGCCGTTTTGGATAAGTTTGAATTCATAGTGGGATCCGAGTTCCGCTGATATGCCGAATGTGACTTGGACGTTCTCGCCCGTTGTAGATAGCGAGCAGAGATAAGGTTGCGACCGACGAATGTATCGTAGGTAGGTAGCTGCAGATACAGTGAGAGAGAGAACAGGACACGGCAGAAGACGGGAATGGATGGATGGACGGATGGATGAATGAATGAATGAATGCCAGAGTTGGAGAGACAATGTGTTATGGACTGGACTCAACTCCGGTTTGGTCCAGAAGTGGAACACAACACAGCATGAGAGAACGGACTAGGTAGAGTGTCAAGAACATAGGTACCTACCTACCTACCTGCCTAGGTACTACCCAGTGTAGTAGTAAGCCGCTGGGCTCTTCACCCGCCGTGTGCCGCGCCAAAAAAAGAAAAGAAGAAAAAAGGTACCAAGTCCAGTCGGGGTGCCCAAGTACCCTTCGTCAGCAGGTGCCGTCACGTCCAAGTTGTGCATCAACCAAGCGTCGCAGCAGAGATACGCCGAGGGACTTGCCTGGGTACATACACCAGGTCCCCCCTGCCCGATGTAATGTGATGTACCTAGGTACTGTAGGTACTGTAGGTACCTACTCCGCAGGCTGGCTGGATTCAGACCATGACTGGTATGTATGGTACGTATGCGGTATCTGTAGCTATCTGTACTGTACCTATGCCATGATGCGCGCTGGAACCTCCCACCTCGCAGTCGCAGGATTGAGACAGTGCCACAGTACAGTCAGTACTTGTACTGATTACGTAGGTGCGTAGGTAGGTAGGTAGCTACTAGTGTACCGTTCTACACAGCACAGTACTGGCAAGCTGTCTGCGCTCGACATCCCTGCTCCCCTGGCTCCGGTTCTTCCAAATGACCGGTTAGGATGCAGAATGTGGAGGGGGGACATTGGATTGGGGGAACACCGCGCCGTCTTGGGGACAGCACCTACCTATGAAGAAGCGTATCTAGGAGGTAACTGGGCAGGTAGGTAGGTATTGCAGTATTGCAGTATAATGTACTGTATGTAAGTAGGTAGTACGGGAAAACCCCGCTCCCCTCCGAGTCTGGACGTAAAGGTAGGTAGGTAGCTGCTGGCTGGCGGCTATTGTGGGTGAATGAGAGCTGACAGACAGAGTTAACAATCTTTGGCATGTCGAACGAAGGAAGCATCTGGGTCGTATCACCCAGCCGGCTCCACCGCGATGGTGTACATTAATTACCTACATCATATATGTACATGCATGCAGTAAGTACCTACGTACTTCCTTCGTACAGGTAGGTAGGTAGGTAGGTAATGTGATGAGGTGGTGCTTGGCTAAGGAAG